GCGTGTTGGTTCGGCTCCACTGGACAATACTCAAATGTAGTCAGTACCTAGTTCAGATTACGATAATAGGTAATTTAACACTTTGATTCCGATGAAGGCAATCTATTTTTCTTGTGGCATCGAGCATTTCTTTCTTTATTTAAACAAGAGTATATTTTTTATTTTTTTCTTGTATAGAAGCACTATTTTATATGGATTGTCAGTATACATATGTGAGGACCATGTCAGACTTAAGATATTTGTTTTCTCTTGGTTTTGTTTTTTTTTTTTCTATTTTAGTATGTTCTGTTATTTGTATGTTGCTTCAGGTATGTCTTTACATTATTCTCACATGTGTGTACAATATTGGAATATGTATCAGAGCAATGTAAAACAGACTTTTTTAAAAGAGTAACGAATGGAGTTTCTTGCTCGTTCTTCTCCACTCGAATCGACATTTTGGAACGAGCGCCTAGCTTCACTGACGGACAGACTGACAGACTATTATATATCTCATATTTGTTGACGTTTCAAAAGTACCAAATTATGGTTTAATTGAAATAAATGCTTTTGAGTTTGAGAGTTTTAAGTCGGGAGAAGTAGATAGAAAAACTATTTTTTCATGTTTTGATGACTGCAATTTCTCAATCCGCTACCGACGCCGCAGCTGACAAACATAGCATTTCATGATAGGGCTTAGTAAAGTATTTTGCGGATTTTCGACTGAGAGGAAATTGATCATGAAAGCCTGTCATAGGCCATATAACGTATACATATAAAGTGAACACGCTAGCTAATCAAGCGAAATGTTTTTTTACTTCAGCAGTGGCCAGTTAATGGTTCATGCATGCTGTTCTGCTTTCTAGGTATTACAAAAAAAAAAAGTATACAATAAGATTTATTATATTCCTTGAAATCGTTTATAAACATTCATTAATAAATATTTTTGACAAGTAAATGAAGAAATACATATGTGTTGTGTACGGTCACCATCAACAAAATAACAGGAATAATATAATTTAACTCGGTTTGGACTGTGTTTTTGATATAAGACCCCATATATTTTTTTGTTTGTTATGTTATTCTGCATCAGTTTTTCCACATTCGATTAACTGCCGCGAAAAAATAAAAAGGCACCACGCTCCATACAAATTAGGTCATTGTCATTTAAACTAATTCCTAAGAAGGATGTAGCAAAACCAAAAACCCCAGCAAAATCTCTAATAACTTCGCAACCGACGAAAGAACAAATACAAAATAAGGCACACATTTACTTCATCTAGACAACTAATTTTATAGCTAGTAATTATTTAAATATTCCCATTAGAAAGAAAAAGGTCTGGCTGGGGTAACGTTACCCCAGCAGGAAATATTTTTGTGAAATAATTAAAAAACTATAAGCGCAACAAATTTAAAAAAATGTGCGCAACAATTACAGAAGCCGCATAACTAATAATCTATAAGACTCAAATGTCCATTTTCGTCAACATCTGGCCTGGGTAACACACAAAAAAATATCATTTATCACAGTATGTTCTTCAAGTGTTTCCTGAATGAAAAACAAGCTATTGATACTCCTTGCTCTATCTAATCCGAATCCAAATACTTAAATAGTCATGCTTAGCCCGTAAACCAAAGTGACAGGGATCATTCATAAAATGAACAATCGACTTATATCTAATCACAAACATTTTGCGTACAATTGATGAATGTGAAATCATGAGAGTTACAATTTCATATTATCTTATCCACCTGCTGTGTAGATTAGTATTGCAAATAAACAGTGTCATGCTTGGTTTACAAAATTAAAGATCAAAACAACATCATGTCGTTCATATGACGAAATGTGGAACTGCTGTCGAGTGAGATGATGGCTAAGAGATGCGTTCAGGTCAAAGCACTCTATGCATGTTGGCGTTAAAAGATGTGTAAGGGTTATATCGTTATAACCACACAAACACATGTATGAACGTTAGTAGTAAGTATAACCTGCAAGCCTATATTTAAGTATGCTCAGTAGCGGGACGTGTATCACTCGTTGCTTAATCTTTATGGTGAATACACTACGTGTATTGAAATAGTACAAGTGCTTTCGTTTGTCGTCTGATTCAAATACACATACAGAAACACCTAAACATGCATCTACGTAGTGCTAAGAGGTTTAGCAACTTAGAAACATCCGACAGTCAACATCCATATCGCTCGGCGCTGAATGTAGTTTAGAGGGAGAAGTTGGTTGAGCTTCTCTGACTCAATAATAAGAACAGTATCTTACTAATTATAAATGTGGGTTAATTATAAATCACGTCAAAACAGCTGAGTATGAAATTTAGAGCTAGGGTAGATTATGGTCTGAAATAAAACGGAAGATACTTTATATGAAAGGCGTTGGCAGAAGCTAGTTCCACATAATCGGATCTGCGCATCATAAAAGAGCAGGGTGCTTACTCTTGAAACCAATCTCAATGTCAATGCAATTTCAATCCAATAAAATCTCAACTATCGTAGCCCTATCGTAGATGTCATAGTAGCATTTAGAATACGGAATTTATTGCCAAACTCAATACCATTCAGTTCATTAAATATCCACGCAATACGGATGTAATGGGCGCTAGTGTTGCAACTCAAGAGTACGAAATTTCACAATACATAACAATGTCGATCGATCGGAATTGGATTCAAGAGTAAGCACCCAGGCCGGAGTAAAATATTGGTCTTTCGAGTATGCCAAGTTTCTTTAAGGTTTATTTATCTTTAACTGTGTTGTTGTGGGGTGTAATTTATGAATGCAGAGACTATATCTGACGCAATCTACATTTATCTGTTCCAAAATAGTGATTACAAATCTCCAGGCAAGGTGCTTACTTACCTGCATAAACACCATGTAAGATAGTACTAGGAGAGATACTGGATAAGAAATAATGCCAACTCATAGTGAACTAGCGATGTAGCGACATAAACGATAACTCGATACTTATCATGATGAAAGAAGTGTTTCACAAGAATTAAGCAATAATACAGTATTTATTTATTATTTGATATGCAAATGAATGCATTGTAGCGATGTGGCTGGGTGTCCAGAGGCGTTTTTTCTTATTGGATAGAGGGGGCAAATGAGCAAGCGCTACATTGGTGGAATTACAAGTACATCGCCGGCTGTTTTAGAAGATTGGGCCTACAGTAATATCACAGATTTCACACAGCGAAATACAACGCGAACAGTCACGTCGCTCGCCGCTCCGCTGTTCGCGCCGCCCATCCTCGTGGCCAAGCCGTAAGACTCATTTAAACTGAAGCATCATTCTCTCACGTAAACATTCTACAAGGTTGTACCGAGCGTGACGCGCGACGAGAGAAAAGAAAATGCTATTGTTGCGATCTACATTTAAAGAAAGACAAACTTACCCTCTGCCACTGCTGTGTAGTCTTAGTACAACCACTGATAGTGTTAAGTTTCTCCGCAATATCTTCCCAAAGTTGGTAAGCCTTAGCCCTCCCAGTTGGCCCCCTCAATAGACAGTTCGCAAGATCAGTGTGCTCACTCAGAAAGTCAAGGAAAACCTTCATCTGTTTCCTCGAAGGGGCATTAGGTTGTCGGCTCCCTAAAAACAAAAATTATATTTATTGGTTGGTCACCCTCGAATAATTCAACAAGTATAACTTTCGTATACTTACAGCATGCGGTTTTATGATGTATTTTCTGTTTTTTTTTTTAATAAAAACTTGTTGAACTGACACAGTGCCGGAATAAGGGGAGAAATTATCGTTGTAAAATTGTTTGTTAGTAATGTTGGAAATTTAAAAAATACAGTCACCATAATCTCTTTTGTATACCTATTCTACTTTATGAAAATAAATACATATGAAATAATAAAAAAGGGGTAGGTATATTATAATAAACAGGGCAAAATGGCCCTTTGACAATATTATTTCCATACTTATATTTCTTTCTCTCATGTAGTAGTTCCTTTAGCCACACATGCGTATTAGTGACATGTAATATATTTTAATATAAAGTAATTAGTAGAGGAATAAAGGAGTTCTGTAGGGCACTATGAATGAAAGTAAAAATGTAATCCACCTTTGAAAAATCAATATGATTTTGTTTTGAGCAAATAACAGTAGTAAACATGTAATTTTCCCCCATCTAAGTAGTCTAAATCTAATTCCACTCGGTTTTGCTCTCAGACTACAGTTAAATAATGAGGATGGAATGGTTACTTACTCATAGATAATATATTCAATTGCTTCAGTGTAAGATTAACTTCATAAACATAAAAAGGTATTTTATTTTCTCTGTAGCCAATTAAAAAAAAACGATTATTTTCAAAGTACTAACTACTCTACATTCTTACATTAAAATTGTGTATAAATATTCTATATTTTATGTCCAGCTTGTTAATACTTAAAACATTTAATTACTTAATTTTCACTTGTACATAAGTTTAGTGCTAGCTAATTCAACAATTAAACGTCATGCAGTCACCGGTGACCACCGTCCACTAACTCCATTATAGACCTTATTTCCAAAGTTTAGAAGTCACCACTTTTACTTTTGTATATAAACTAATTTTGGGTATGATATATCAACATAATAAATTACCTATATCACCGCTTTGTAAAAGCGTTTGTTAGCTTGATTAACAAAATGTGTTATTATCTACCAGTAAAACTAAAAGAAATTTTCAGATTCAGTGAGACAGGCGCCATACTCATAGGTATCCTTAGAGGCAGTGACCCAATTGCCTAATTGCCCAATTGGTCAAGATCCAAGCAGTCACCGTTGACCACTCTCCACTTACACCATTATAGACCCTATTTCCTATGTTTAGAGACTACTTTTGTTGTGGATTTTTCATAATCGGACATTTACAAGTTAAATGGGTTTAGTGTTAAGCTGTAATATCTATAGTTTTCACCACAAAATCCAACAAAGAATTGAGTAATTGACATAATTTCCTTAACAATATATTATGCCCCAAAAGGATTAGTAAATTAAAGTTAAAATTATAAATACTCACTCCCAAGGTCCTCATCTCCACCTTCCTGCCCAGTCTCATTATCCGAAGTCTCCCCCTCTCTGGAATCTTGAGATTCATCTTCCAATGGCTCCGGTTTTATCCATAATTCTTCTGATCGTACTGAAATTAATTATGTCAAAAGTCAAAATCATTTATTTCAATTAGATGAGGAACTTTTGAACATCAACAAAAATAATTTAAAGTGAGGCTATTTAGTTAGGTAACTGTATGAGTTGTCTTATTGGTTATTTTTTACATAAGTTTATTAATAATGGTTTTATTGATTGTTAATTAGGTAAATAGTGAAGTTGAGGAAATCTGTACATAAATTCTGTCAGTAGTGATAACTGCGTTCCTAGGTATGAGTCTGTACTCTGTATTGCTAAATATCATACATAAACACCGTCAACAGTGTTTGCATACAAAAATCTTCTAACATTCAACTGCAACTACACAAGTAAGTATTTTTTACAATATTTACAAGTAACTAAGAGAATATCTTGCTGTATGACACAACAAAGTTGTCTTGCTATGTGACATCCCTTCAGACAAGGGACACAATTAGGATACATCAAAACACTAACTGAACTGATACTATTTCTTAAATTAGTAATGAAATCAACTTACTATAAACGGTTAAATTGACAGATTGTTTAAATGTTCTCTTGTATTATTAAATATGCAAATTACTTACAATTGCAGTTGTCTTGTTTCAGATTGTCTTCCTGACTCGTGCCCTCATCCTCCATTGGTTCCGGCTTCACGGAAATTTCAACCAAAGGCACCGACATTTCCATTGCTGACCGAGCTAACCTACTTTTCTCACCACAAAAACTAAATAAAAAAGGGATTGCAGTAACAAATCAATCACGATGTTTTTTATTTTGCATTTTCTTGACGTAATTTGGCCGTAACCATGTTTATTGCACACAAAATCATTGTTTTAACGTCTATTCACTTCATTCTAAATTAAACTTTGCTGTAATTAATTATTTTCAGTCAGCAGTTATTAGTCGAAGGCGCAATATGTACCGGCTGCGGACGCGGTTGACCGACGATACAGTTATGCGGCATTCAGCTCTTTGCACAGCATTGTATCATACAATCCACACTGTATACTCAAATAAGTGTTTCGTTATGGAACAGAGAGAAGATATATTGCACTAATTATCTATTTATCAAGTCCTTTTTCGCATTTTTCTTCAATCGATCTAGCCACAATCACAATCAGCCATTTACTTCAATTTATTTGTCAAAACCAGTTAGTGATGTACGCTTTCAAAACTAGTTATACTAGTAGTATCGATTGCCATAAATAAAAATATTCGAAGCAAATCACATAATGATGTAGTTGTGCTATCGAAAACTGTGAGAATTAATATAAATAAAATAATATAATTATGTTTGAAACCAAAGAATTAACCTTTCAATTCAATAGATCGAGGCAGTATTTCACCCCGACCCACTGCCTGCTTCTATACAAGGCACAGGTGCGGCCCCACATGGAATACTGTTCTCATCTTTGGGCGGGGGCACCCCAGTACCAACTTCTTCCTCTGGACCGCATTCAGCGGCGTGCCGTTCGGATTGTTGGATGTCCGGATGTTTCAAACCGGCTCGACACTTTGGCAATGCGTAGAGATGTAGCTTCATTGTGCATTTTCTACCGCTTATACCACGGGGAGTGCTCTGAGGAATTGTTTGACCTGATACCTGCCGCATCTTTTCGCCATCGACCCTCACGACAGCATATGCATCCCCATCATATAGATGGTTGGCAGGCCACAACTGTGCGGTTCTCACGTAGCTTCCTGCCTCGCACAGCAAAACTGTGGAATGATCTGTCGTCGGCGGTATTTCCGAACCGATACGACCTTCAAACCTTCAAGAGAAGAGCGTACTCCTTTTTAAAGGGCCGGCAACGCACCTGTGACTCTTCTGGTGTTGCGGGTGTCCATGGGCGGCGCTGATCGCTTACCATCAGGTGATCCGTCTGCTCGTTTGCCTCCTATTCCATAAAAAAAAAAAAAATACGATTTCTCTGAAAATGTTGCATAAAACAAAAACAAGAACCTAAGTATAATGGTGCGATTGTATTTTACTACTTTATTGAAATCGGTAAGTAAAATTGTGTGTAATTTCACAGCACTACGCTTATAAGAGAGCCTATACACTAGACATTTTTGCAAACGATTTTTTTGTCTATGAATTCAAATTAGAAAATCTCCTTCTACAGCATTCTTTGAAAAAATATACGTTTTTCAACGACCTCCCATATAATAGGTTAAGATAAAATAATATCAACACCCACATTTCGCTAGTTAAGTTAAAAGGCATTAAGCTATTTTTGTGTCGCAGAAGACTTAGGGTTGCCGGGTCTCCGTCTCAAAGAGCAGGAGTAGGAACAGCGTGTTTTTTAGTCAGTAAGAGTCTGACACTTCTTCTGACCTTACCTAAGGCGAGAGAAGACATTGCATCACCCCCTTCTTCTTTATCTTATGGTGCCACTTCATTCCGGAAGGTTGGCCGTCAGCTTTTTGAATTGGTCCTTGTCATTGGCCAGGCGGAAAAGTAGTTCCACAGAGCTGATACCGGTCCACTCCTTATATTATTAGCCACGACTTTTTTCTTCGCCCAGCGCTTCTCTTCCCTTCCACCCTACCCATAATTTTTAGGTGAAGCAGAAAAATCCCTCCTTAAAAAGGCTATTTTTGTGCCCAAATAAGATTTTGCAGCAAGCGGAATATTAATTTGGTGAAAAAATAAATGTTGGAAGTCGAAGTTTCGAGAAAAGCACAAATAAAACAACAGGAAATCTTTCCTAAAATTTATTTCGAACCGTTACACATAACTTAATAAAAAATTAGATGTAATTAAATTTTTATATGACTTAAAAAGAGTGTACAATGCATTACAATATGACATGTAATCTCAAAATATAATGGTTTCTATACAAGTCGATAACATTTTGGTATGTCTATGTACTAATTCAGAATGAAATAAACAAGACCATTCTTTAAAATTTCAATACTTCGTTTTACTGACCAAGTTTAGTGATATTTTTTGAGATAAAGCAGAAATTATGTATAGTTCACATTAAATTATGACTTTTAAGTCTAATTTTAGGTAGTAGCTGTGTATTTAAATAAAAAAAATTAGAAGAGAATTGTTAAATAAAACTTGAGAAAAACTCATACACAATGGAAAAACATAACGGAAAAACGAACAAACACAAACTATAAACATTAGACAGGAGAAACAATATCAATAAACTTGGCCAGTTATCTACTACAATACTAAACTAAATACATTTTTGTTGCACCTGTGCGAATATAAAAATATTGACTATGGTATATTTCGGAAGCACACCTCATTTCTGAGAGGCCAACAACTGTTGACTGGCGTTCGATATTAAAATTACGTTTTTATTTTTTTTTTTTCAATGTTGTATTTTTTTCAGTGTACTAAAAAACTCAGTCTTAATAATAAAAAACCTTATTTAACATTTCTTATGCATTGCAATTCAATTCGTAATTCAATAATCTATTGGAAAAATTAGTATCAAAAAGCGTTATGAATAGTTTTCATTATAAAAGTGGCCTTTAAAAATGTTCATTATTGGTACAACATTTATGTACTCAGCAGTTGTAAAGAAAACTCACTCTTATATCGATGTAAATAAAAACGATTTTAGAGTGAACACCCCCAATCAGAAACAAGGTGACAACTTCAAAAAAATAACTCAAGTCACAAGTAAATCGGTGGAAAATTATATTTACACAATAGTGACGTCATTACACTATAAACAAAACTTATACTATCATGGTACAAAACAAAAAATGGAAGAACAAGATTGTAAGTATAAAATTACAAAAAAGGAAATCGTAAACACTAGAGTGGTAGCATTATCGACTCTATTTCTTAACTTAAAGAGCTGTTTTTGCTTGCGATAATGTTACCACCGAAGAGTATTAAAATAAAAATATTATATATAAAAATTAGCCTGTGACTCGAGTATATTTAACATGGACTTATACTAAAATATATAATTTATCGATTTTTTGATGATCGACCTTCTATAACTAGTGATTTACTTCAAAAACGACTTATGACGTCACAATCCCATATTTTTGTTACTTTACTTAGGGTGAAATTATGGGTTTATGGAACTTAAATCATGATAATAAATGTAGATAAAATCAGATGTACCTATGTTTCACTAACGATAACCCAATCTTTAACTTATGAAAAAAACCGCATTATTTCATATTCATATTCACAGATAGATGAAATCTCCACCTTATATCAAGTGAGTAGTCCATCCATTATTTGTAGAATATTACCATAAACCCATAATAACACCAGCAATAGTAACTAAGATTCATTGCACAACGAAATTGTCACCCAAACACTGCAATAGGAAACATCTAACTGACACATCACTAGATGGCTCTACAAGACACTGAGAGGGGTTTTCCATATTACCCAGGTTTGACAGGTGATTAAACTATCAATTGAATTGTTGTATTTCTGATTTCTAGTTTGTCCATAAAGCTTCAGTAAAATACTGACAGTAAAGTACTTTTTTTTAAGTATAGGTTAATGTTGATTTTGATACTTTCAAGACTTGATAGCAGCGCCATCTAGTTAGTGCAAATTCGACATTTATTGATGCAAAGCATCACATACTTACATCACAAGTTCGTTTAGAGTTTAGACTACGCACACTAGATGATTTAGTCAGCGATGATCAACAACTTAGCAACATTTGTCAATTTTCAATAACCTATCTACCTTCTTGTTTTGTCAACTAGAAATTGAATTTTAACACAAAATGTGTCAAAATTCTATCTTTAGTAGGCAAAACATTAGATTGGTTATCAAAAATGACGGTCAGCGGTGCAGGTAAACATTTCGTCGCGGTCTTAAGTCATAATTTTGATAAAATGTTGAACTAGAAAGAACTGTTGATTAGGTCTTCAAAGTTTGCGCATTGCGCTAAATTTTGTCTAAGTTTTGCGCTAAACTATTATAGTATAGTTACATGCGCATTGCGCTAAAATGTGGTTAAGTTTGCGCAAATAAGACGTTTCTTTTAATGTTTATGATGACTGAAGTACTGATGTATTGAAGCGTGAAGCTGAAGACCGGTTGTGATCAAGAACTTCTATGGACACTCTCTGCCCCAACTGGGGACGTAACACTTAAGTTAGGTGATTGCTTACCTTTCAACAGTCCACTAAAGTTTATATTATCAAAATTATACCCAATTAACTAGTATAAGCATGTCAAAAATGTACAATATTACAGTAAAAATGTTACAAAGCTAACAGTCAAACAGTGTTCGATGTATACAATATAAATATCAATTCCTTATGGAAATAATTATGTGGTTTGTTGAACTAACTTGTGTATCAGAAAATCTTATGAAAAAGAACATATTTCATAAGTATTTGGGTTGAGTTAATGTTATAATAGTGTATTTCAATCAATTCCTTGAAGTCTACAATAACTGAGAGAAAATAGACGAAGAAGACATATTTTACTGACCCTAGATAACTCAGTATTAAGGGGAAATGAAGTTCTTTTCTAGGCACAAGTTATTTCAATAAACCACAAGGTAACTGCTAAGTAAACTGTTTTACTATCAAAGTATACAATGCCCGGTGACTTCCATTCAAAGTTCAACGAGAAATATTCAAAAAAGGTTTGTGAAAAATCATTATGTTTTTATAATAACTATCGTGAAACATACTAAATTAACTAAAAATCGCGGGTTACTCACGTGTTCTATTGAGTAGTACTACGCGCGACATCGCCGTGACCACGCAGGTTGCTCATGAGGAAGAACCCCTCTGTGGTTCGAAACTTCTAGAGGTTCTCTCAGTATTTTCACGTGAGTAACCCGCGATTTTTAGTTAAGACATTATGTGTAAAACATTATACTAAATGTTACTGTTGAGAATCGATTCGATAATCAAAACTCGACCACCAATGAAGCTAAAATCTCTCATGGCCGTTTTCACAAACCACCATCTCTAAACTAAAAGTTACTTAGAGTGACGTTCCACCTAAACTAACCCCTTACTCATACTTTTAGGTGTCATTTATGTGTTGTTGAAAAACAAAATGTCACCTGTCTTAGCTTAGGCGTTAAAAACTAGCAATAGAAACTTCTTTAATTCTCAATATTTTGTCAAACCGAGCAGTTATTCTGATAAATGAATTATTATAATTATTTTTTTAAATATTTCTGGTTAAAACTCCGTACAAAATTTATAATCACTTACAAACTACATGATTTTTAATCATTGTCATACAAAATTAAACATTGGTCTATGTTATCGACCGAAAGTCGGCTCAAACCGGAGCGCATAACTCTCTAAATCGAAAGTGTATTGAAACTAATCTATACAAATCCTTTTGCTTTGTGTTAATATAAATACAAGCTAGTTGTTTCCTAAGTCAAAAGTCAGCAAAACTATTTAGTATGTAGGTAAGAATATAAATATTGATTCAGTATAAAGACGGTATTCATTGGTTGGGTACTGAGCCGACCAATGGTTACAAAAGATATGACTTCGTTAAAACTGTAGAATTTGGTGTAACTATAGCTACCGGTTCTTTATAGACACAATATAACATCACGCCTTTTTATCCCCGAAGGGATAGGCAGAGGCGCGGCATTACGGCACTTAATGTCACTGTACAATGTAAAACACCTACTTTGCACTATTTATGTTATGAGTCCTATGTAGTAATAGGCTCACCCCCGAGCCTATTGCCATATACCGGGCACAATTCCAGACTCCGTGCAACTACGGTTTTTTTTTAAAAACGCACTTATACTTTGCCCGACCCGGGAATGGAACCCGAAACCGTTTGACCAGCACTCGCACTCGCGACCACTATGCTAACGAGGCAGTCTCTATACTGTGTTAGTATTTATTTTCTTACCTGCATAACTAAATAACTTGGTCGAATATCATGAAATATTTCAAAAAAGTATTGTCTTCGACTCGTAGGAAACATTTCTATTGCAAAAGCTGTTGTGTTAATACAATACAAAGTCTTAAGAAATTAATGTTTTTTAGTCTCACAACGATTAATTATTCTAATGTTATATTCTTTGATATATAAATCACAAATGTTATATGAAAAGTGCCAATTCCTATGTCAAGTAGCATTTTGTTAGGATAAAAATGATGATTCTCTTTTACATTATAATATTACGCTTAATATCTGCAAAAGGTGTTGACAAAAGTGCTATATTTTACTACTAGCGAACCCGACAGACGTTGTCCTGCATATCCACTTGAATGTATAAACAAAAATTCATTTAAATTAGTTCAGCCGTTTAGGATAAATAACCTATACACTGCTGCGTCATCTGCCGGGCTGATTTGTGAATCTAAACCATCCGGGGCGCCACTCAAACGCATACAGAATAGAAAAAATCATTCAAATCTGTGAAGCCGTTAAGGAGGAGTTCAATGACATACACACGATATTTTGTTTTTTGAGCCAATTCTTTAAATGTGGAGGAAAGTGAATCTATTTCTTTTCTCCTAAGTCATCAAGTCAATGGACCTAGTGAGAGTGGTCGAATTATTATCTCATTTATTACGTTTCGCGATCCAAGACATTTATTCATGTTCATGATACGCACCGATATTCAGTGTTTCTGCCTATTTATGGTTGTATCTTTGTTCAGTGTAGAACCTGGCTTACAGGAGTTGCGGCTTTAACAAAGCCTTTTCAAAAAATAACATAACATAACATCACGCCTTTTATCCCCGAAGGGGTATACAGAGGTGCACATTATGGCACTTAATGCTACTGTACAATGTAACACCCCCTTTTCACAATTTATGTTATGAGTCCCATGTAATAGGGGGTGGGCACATTTCCAGATTCCATGCTACTACTTTGCCCGACCCGAGAATCGAACCAAAGACCCTTTGCCCGGCAGTCGCACTTGCAATCACTCGGCCAACGAGGCAAGAAAATAAATATTATAATTTTAGTGTGGCTACTGATAAAAAAATCTTACTAATATTATAAATGCGAATGGTTCGTGAGTTTGTGTGTATGTTCGTTACTCAATGACGTCAAAACGGCTGAAGGTATCGGAATGAAATTTGGAACAGGGATAGGTACATATAGTCTGGAAGAACACAGGCTACTTTTCATCCCATGGAAACGTAAGCGAAGGCGGGCAGAACTTAGTTCCACATAAAAGAGAATCACCACCATTACCTAAGGGGGCGTCCATCATAAATTACGTGAGGTGTTTTTTTAATTATCTGTCCCTCCCTCCCCCCTTGGTGAGATTTCGTGAGATTTTATTCAAAACCCTCCCCGATCCCCCATTCTCAAGTGAGATTTTTCAAAATGTTGGTTTTTCACGTAAACGCGTTGGATTGTTATTCATGTGCATGTACAATTCAATCTTGAGCATGTACAATCTGGAATAAATCAACTATGAAGTCGGTAAAATTGTATTTCTCCAAAGTAAGATTAGATGAGATTTGAGTCTATCCCCTCCCCCTTAAACATCTCACGTAATTTATGGACGCCTAAGTCAAATTAATAACAATAAAAATGTTAGATCACATCAAATTTGCATGCCTGTTAGTTCAACATCAAGTGCAACATTCAACAATGGTCCTTCGATCCAAATAGCTTTTGAGATGATTTTATCTTGTATTTGTATTCCTTATGCTATGAAGAACTTAACAACCATATTTCGGCATCACCTGATGGTAAGCAGGTAGAGCCTTAATACGAGTTTGATTTACGTTTAAAGTATTCGAAACGCGTACGCGTTCGGCGCTGTGATTGGTCGGCGCCAATAAACCAACCAATCACAACGCCGAACTCGTACGAACACTAGAGGAGTTACAAATGCGTTTAACCAGCTTTATTAAAAGCATGAAAGATGTTTGGGTTGTATTTGAGGGCTTCGAACTGGTAAATCGCGAGAAACTGTAAGAAATCTTGATTTCATGTATTGACGGACAACGATCCACTCATTGTCCATTACCAGCTCGAAATTCATTAAAATTCAATCTCTTTTCAACCGTCTTCAAACAAAAGGAGTAGGTTCTCAATTCGACTGTATTTTTTTTATGTTTTGGTATTTATATTTTGTATAGTAGTTTAATAGCATAAGGAATAATAATAGCAGTCATTTTGGTACATATAATTATGAGACGACTCCAAAATTACATAAAGAATGTAAATATAGCAAAAATGCAATAAAATGCACGACACGTAAATAATAAAAATAGCGAAAAATAATAAATACACATTAAAAATGAGTTTCTAATAATCTCAACATCGATTCGTTTTAAATATTAGCTTTTTAGTACATTTCGATTATTATAGTAAAGAAAACATACAATTTTAATATATGTAAATAATATGTATGTACGTTTGTGCGTTACAAAAAGATTAACTAAGCCGATTTTGTTTTGTGAATATTTTTATTCACAAATTATAGATACATTCAGTATTTTATTTGCATTGTGATTACATATTGTTGAGCGCCATATTTGTTAAAAGTATCATTTTTGTTACTGAAAGAGGTAAGCAGAAATGTGTAAACTTTTCTTAATTTACGTCACTTCTTTTTTAATAACTTATATTATATTACAAGTTCCATGTAATAGGGCAATAACCTATAACCAAAATTAAAGTCCAAAAACCGATACTTTTAAAAATATCAAACTCAAAAATTCTTCAAAAATCACTTCACCGTAGCTTGTGCAAATTAATAGCTCATTATCTATGAGCACAGTCTATGAATGAGAACCATAGACACGTTGCCTATGGCTCGTGACGTCACAATTTTAACTCGCCTGATTTTCGTCTAAGAACTCGACACATGTGAATGGAAAATGGCCGATTTTGCCGTGTAGCTCGCCCTCCCATTGGCCATTTATATTGATTTTTGTCACCTGGAAAATGAACAACAAATATTTTAAGGTTTTTATTTATTGATCACATGCCCGAATACTGAAACGTTACTCAATTTTAAGTCACGGTTAAGTATAGTTCTGTCTCCACAAATTCTTTGTAAAATGACAGAGATGAGACGATATTTAAGCACGACTTAAAATTGAGTAACGTTTCAGTATTCCGGCAGCAGTGGCGTATCTACAAGGTGGCAAGTCGAGATGATGCCACAGGCCCGAAGCCGGCAGGGCCGTCCATTCATCTGAATTTCTCTCTATTTATAGGAAACAGGACTCATCCAATAAATTTGCCACGGGCCTCGAACGGTATAGTTATGCCACTGATTTACCACACATGTTGTAATTTTACTTTTTATATATTGAAAAAAAAATCATCTTACAGGAGTTGCAGCGGTTTTGGGAGGTGGCGGGCTTGTCCCTTTAAAAAATATTAAAAGAGAAGTCGAATCTCCAACAGTATTTACAAAATCATCTTTATGTTGTACAGTCCTTCCATTAAGAGTTATAGGTCATAAAACTTCACACTATGACCAATAAGAGCTGAGCAGCGGGTAAAACCGCGGATGGAGAAGAAAGGATTTATTTATCTATACCTACATATAAAATCGTAGGAAAGTGAAAACTGTACATTTATTAAAATAATGTTTGGGGCGTAATTTACAAACGAAACCGAAGCTAAAAATATGGTTGTCTGTATGTATGTCCGGGGTAAACTCAAAAAGTACTACATGCATTCACTTCAAATTTTGTACGAATATTACTAACAGCGCGAGTCAACATATAGGTTAAACATTATCACGCTATAAGCTACGAGGGAGAAGCTGTGAATCACTATTCCACGCGGACGATGTCACTGGCGCAGCTAGTGCGATGAATAATAGTATTGATAGAGAGTAAATACTAACTTTAATAATATCACCCTCCTCCAGCTTGAGTGCTGTCTTGTCGTAGGCGTTGGGCACTCTCGGTTGCTTCACCCGAGCTAGCGCGGGGAGAGTGCGCTGGAAGAGAAAATAATAAAAATTAATACAATATTGTAAAACATTGATGACTTTGTTTAACCTATTTTATAGGATACGGTGGCAAAGAAGCAGATGGATCACCTGATACTAAGCAACCGTTACTTCCCGTGGTCACCCGAAACACTAAAGCCGTTAGAAACGCTTTGTATTGTAATTCTTGTTCTTTTTAAAAAACGTTGCCCCACACTACGATGTTTTCTGTGTCGTGTGTGCGTTTACAAACACACAAACATACACATACACATGACATCCAGACTCGCAACAACAAGTTTTTTTTTAAGGGGGCAAAATCATCGAATGACTGCTCCCGCCTGGGTGAGGCGGAAGGGAGTGTCAAACTCTTACTGACTAAAAACCACCCCGTTCCTTCTCCTGCACGTCGAGCCGGAGCCCCGGTTACCCGTTAGGTTCTCCGCGACTGTGGATCACACTAAAGAGTTGTTCCTTGCACCCGCAACCCGAACCGAACCCGCAACACGTTGTCACTTACCCAGCCACCGCGCTATCCGTGCCGTCGTGTACTTAACTAGACCCTTGATAACCTTATCACACGGCTAAACACAACGCAAGTGGTGTTTCACGCCGGTTTTCTACGAGGCCGTGGTATCACTCCGGTCGAGCCGGCTTTAATGAAGAATAAACATTTGAATGTACCTGCATATTAGTACGCTGTTGAGGGTGTTTGATGCTGGGCGGACTGGGCGGGTCCGCCAGGTGGTTGAGAGCCTCTGCCGGTGGGTATGGCACACCCGATGGGTCTAGGATCTGGAAGACACAAGAACAAGCTATATAATAACATATAGAGAGTATATACTTGTACAGTTCAGCAATGAACTGTGGTAATTGTATCTTCATGTGATGTGATATTTTTTTATTCCTATGGATCTAAGATATGTAGTGTACTGCTTACCCTCTGCACGTAAGGCACGGGTATGGAGCCGGTGCGTCCGAGGCTGTTGCGAGCTGTCCACCACTGCTCCTCGTCACGGTTGATCACCATCAGTCGCTCTCCGCGACGGAATGGAAGGTCATCGGCGTCCTGGAATTTATTGGTTGAAGTTTTATTAAGTGTCACGTAATTGGTTTTTTAGTATAAACGACAAAGGTCACGCCTTTTATGCCGTGGAATGGTAGCATATAAGATAAGCTCCGGAGTATTAGGGAAGGAGTATAAGAAAAACTGGTTATAAGTACATTGTTAAACTATGCCTCATTGGCCGAGTGGTCGCAAGTGCGACTGCCGGGCAAGGGGTCTCGGGATCGATTCCCGGGTCGGGCAAAGTACTACTGGTTTTAAAACTTCAGTGGTAGCACGGAGTCTGGAATTGTGCCCGGTACATGGCAATAGGCTCACCCTCTATTACATAGGACTCATAACATAAATAGTGAAAAGTGTGTGTTACATTGCATAGTGGCACTAAGTGCCGCAATGTGCACCTCTGCCTACCCCTTCGAGGATAAAAAGGCGTGATGTTATGTATATGTTAAACTGTGCCGCCTCTAGTATGTAACTTGGGAAAATAGTAAAAAGAAAAGCTTAAAAGTGTTAGGAGTCAATTCATAAAGAAATGTTCAAACGCATGGTTCTACGTTCCACTAGCCATGTCGACCATGCTTAACAAAGGAGAACATTTCGGCTCCATACATTTTTGAGGCTCCATACATTTTTTTTTTTGAGGCGAGGGGGACTGGGATGCCGTCTCCTCCTTTTGCGAAGCAGTCATGCTAGCTAAGGAGGAGGCGGGACGCGTGAGGCAGCGAAGCGCTGCCTCCTCGCAACCCAGCCATCGCGAAGGACACACCGGGCGTCGGGGATCGCGGGACGATCTCCGGCCACCGTAAGCGCGGGCCTGCGGACGGCGAGCATGGGTGGCTCCCCGTCCGACCAGAAACAGACCCGAGCGTACGGCGCGTCGCGTTCCGCGCGCGCCTCAAAGAGCCATCAGACCACCACAGATGGGGCCCAATAGGGCCGATGCCGATTCGGAGTCGCGGAGAACCTAACGGGTAACCGGGGCTCCGGCTCGACGTGCAGGAGAAGGAACGGGGTGGTTTTTAGTCAGTAAGAGTCTGACACTCCCTCCCGCCTCACCCAGGCGGG